ACCAACAATCAGACGTGAAACACATAATTCCATCAATTTTTTTAAAATCATTTTTTAAATTCTCAGCCATTGTATGAAATAATTTTATAGAATTAGAACGAACAGTATTTCTACTTACGCTCCTATAAGGAGGTTGAATGTATTTTTACAGGAATTCTTCAAAATACTGATCTTCTGCAAATGTGAAGGGCATCTCACAAGCTGCTAAAAATTTCGACATTCCAACTCACATTCGTTCCTGCGAATACATGAAATTAGTAAAAATAACTGATCCACTAACATTAGTAAAACCAATAATCTGAGTTTGTCTAGGATTCAAATGTCCTGTTTCATTTAGATATTTCTCTTTGTGTCTCTGTAGTGTGCCGGTGCCTTGACCATATCTCCCGACATAATTTTTTTGCAGATATTGCATACTGTTTTTCCATCCTTTTCATTTACTGTAAACATTTGCCACACATCTGATATTTGTTTTTTTCCTTGCTTTTTGAAATGATCCAACTTCTACAATATTGTCATCTTCTAAATTTGTTGGAGAACAACTATCATTGAAAATAGGATTTTGAGAAGAAGAATCGCGAGAATCCATAATATAATAGGATTAAAAAGTTTAGTAGTGACTAGTGAGAATTGAGAAGAAAGAAATATAATCATAATGATGATGATATTTGCAATTGAATAATTATAATTGTAGTAAGGTAGTAACAAGTATGAAAAATGAATTATGAAGTATAAATGTATAATAACTAATTGTAAGAATAAGTTGGAATTTATAGATGAAAGGGATGATATTATTGTTATAAAAATAATATTACCGTTATATATAAAAAAAAAATTTACCATTACTAAAAAAAAAAATTTTTTTTTTGACCTAGCATACATGGCTTGCTGTAGGCAGGAGCCTGTTGCAGCAGGCGCATGTCTGCAGCTACAGCAGGCTACGCCCATGGCTCTCTCCCCCTTTTTTTTTTAAAAAAAATTATTTATTATAATTATTTTTTACGACCCGCAGGTAAACCGCGGCCCGTGTGGGTGCAACCTGCGAAACCCACGAGTTACACCTCCTTGGCCTGTGAATCGTCCGAATGAGTCACGGGTCAGCCACGGTCTCGATTTTCACGGGTCTGGTTGGCCCATCCGTCTTGACTCCTCTAGTAGAGGAACGGAATATTTTATTCAATTGACTAATATAGAGAAAACAAATACAATAACCGTGCATACACAATTATTCTATATTTTAGTAATACAAAAATAGTGAAAATAGTTTAGTATTTATAAGGATGCATGCCAAATTCTACAAATACCACAAAAATAGAAACAAGATAAAAAAAATCACGTGAAATAAGGAAAACAGTATATTCCCAATAAAAATACGTAGAAAGAAGGAAAAATATTTTCTCAAAAATCCAATCTAATTTCAGTTTTAAAAAACCCAAGAGGTGAAACTCAAACAAAAGCATATAGCAACCTGAAAATTGAAGGATATACACTGAGAAGATACAATCCTTTAATTTTGTGATTTTTTTCCCATCAATATACATTAATTACACAATATT